GGGGGGGGGGGGGTGTAGAGGAAGAGATCTGAGAATTCTGACAGAGGAGGGAGGTGGATTGATGCGTCTATCGTCGTCCACTCTTGGGGTGAATGATAGGTGATAGTTCCACTCGGAATCCTGTCCTGCTCCTCCCTTGTTTGTCCTTATCATTTGGAACCGAAAAAAAAAAAAAAAACTCTTTTTTTTTCTAAAAAAGTTAGAAAAACACCTCCCTTTTTTTTCCCCTTCTTCTTGTTCTTTCTGAAAAGACCAACCGGTCAAGCTCAGCCGGTGCACCCACGAACTGTTGAAATTCAGACCAGAGTTTGAATCCTGATGGAATTACCTGTGGGCACCGGTCAGTTTGACAATTTGACAATGATTCATATCTCAAGGTCGTCACCCTTTCAAAAAAAAAAAAAAAGGCCACTCACAAACACTTTTCACTGTTTCAGGGAGTACTATATATATTATAAACTCTGACGAAACAGTTTGCCACAGCCCCTTGTTCGTTGTCCTCTTCTCCCTCCCTCTCTGCCTACGGTTACCAGGCAGCTCTGTTTGACTCTATATGACTCTATATATATATATATATATATATATTGACGATATATATATATATATCGTCACAAACAGAACTGCCCGGTAAACCGTAGGCAGAGAGAGAGAAGAGGACAACAAACGAGGGGCTGTGACAAACTGTTTCGTTGGAGTTTCACCGACTCATCAGGAGGCTATATATATTAAAAAAATAAATAAATAAATCGCAGAGCTTTCCTGACCTGCATGTCTAGTGTTTCCTTGTACTGCCTTTGCAGAGCCGCTTCATCCATGATCATGTGTTTTCTGTCAATGAAGGACATGCTGGCTGGGCCTTTATGTACATGGTCTTCTTGTCCCGCCTTCTGGAATCTTTCGGCTTTTCTCGCATATTCATTCTTCCGGATCACCTCTGTGTTTTTATCCGCTGTCTCCTGAAGGACCTTCTGCTGCACTGCTCTAACACACTGTCCACAAAAAAAAAAAGGAAGGAAAGAGAGAAAGGAAATTTACTATTTAGGAAAAAAAAAAAAAAAAAAAACAGAAAATGGCAGAGTGTTGCCCTGGGACAACCATTAAAGGACTCCAACGGGAAAAAAAAAAAAAAAAAGAGGACTCCAATAATGTCGGACTAAGGTAGAAAATCTGAGCTTTTTTTTTTTTTTTAAAGATAATAAATTATAAGGAGAAGTCAGGAGTCCAGCTGTTGTGTAGACAGGGTGTACAGAGTGTGCGTGTGTGTACAGTGTGGACATTCAGGGTGATCCTCGTACATGCGTGCAAGCGAGAGTGAGGGGGAGTGAGGCTGGTGGTAGAGACTGTGTTCGGCGGCCATAGCCACAAGTTGTACATTTGATTCAGACTGAGTTTAATACAAGTTCATTCTTGTTCTGAGTGGGAAGAGTTCGGTTTTGCCATCAGTTCCCAAGTGTGCATGTTGTGAGCAAGTCCAGAGTCGAGTCTGATTGCATTGGTATCGGAGCTGGTACCCGTTTTCCACGCCGGCGGAGCTGCAGCAGCGAGTTGGAAGAAGGAAGAAGCCGCCATAGCCGGAGCTCGGCAGAGAGAGAGAGAGAGAGAGAGAGAGAGGGGGGGGACGGCAGCCATAGCTGCCAAGCTTGGGAAAGGAGACGACCAGCAAGAAGAAAGAGATAGACGCAGAGAGAGAGAAGAAGAAAGTGACGAAGAGGGAGACGAAGTCAGCCATAGCCGAGGTGAAGAAGACGAAGTTCTGACGAAGAAGAAGGTCTGCCATAGCCAGGAGGTTGAACGGGGGAGTTGACCAACGTTGACTGAGAGTTGACCAGGGGTGTTGACCGGGCGTTGACCGAAGTTGACCAGGGCGTTGACCAGGAGAGTTGACCAGGGGAGTTGACCAACGTTGACTGAGAGTTGACCAAGGGTGTTGACCGGGCGTTGACCGAAGTTGACCAGGGCGTTGACCAGGAGCGTTGACCGGAGAGTTGACCAAGACCGTTGACCGGAGCATCGACCCAGCTGGAGCGAGAAGATTACTGGTACCATCTCTCCAAGCCCTGGCCCATCCCCTTACCCCGTGGATGAGCACCTTCACCTTGGTACCTGCTGACGTTAAGTCTGTCAAAGTCAGTCAGTCCTATCTCCGTGTCACTTCTGTCCAGGTCAGTAGGATTCTGTGTATGTGGTCATAGAACCGTAAGTCTAGCCCGAGTAGTGAATCAAGGACCCTCGATAGAAGTTAACCTGTTCGGTCTACGTGTTGAGGCGCGGGATTGTTGTTGATTGTGCACCGTCAACATGGTGGACCTCAGGTCTGGAACTAGTACCACCCCCTACAGCAAGGAGCAAGAGGAGAGAGCTGCCGCTATCCTGCGAGAGAGGAAGGAGAGAATGGAGAAGAGGGAACTGATTAAGCAGGCCAAGATACTGGCCCTGCTGGAGGAGCAAGAGGCAAAGAAGAGGCAGATGGAGGAGGAGCTGAAGAAGGAGCAGGAGGAGAAGATGGCGGCTATACAAGAGGAGGTGGAGAAAGAAGAAGAAGAAGAAGAAGTAGAGGAAGAAGAGCCATTGGAGAGAAGGAGAGGGGAAGCTAGCACAAGCAAACAAATTGAGATTGCAAGGATTGCACAAGAGTGGGCCGCACATTTGGAGTTGGGGGAAGATAGGTAGGCCGAGATGGCCATACCCCAGGAAGAGAGAGAAGCAGCAAGGAGGCAGATTGAGACAGAAAGGGACCCGGTGAAGAGAAAGGCGAAGGAGGAAGAACAGCAAATGGCATGGAGATACCGGCTGTCCCAAGAGAGGGTAAGACGATTGGAAGCGGCGGAAAGGGCAGAGAAGGATCTGAAAGCGGCGGAAAGGGCAGAGAAGGATCTGAAAGCGGTGGAGACCAGGATGAAGAAAACCAGGGAAGAGACGGAGATAGCCACTAAGCTCAATACCCTGACTCAAAGTGTAGAATCTTTACTAATTGCACACCACAAACAAGCGCAATATATCCGCAGCTTAGAAGTAAAGATAGATGCAATGCACACCGGGTTCAAAGATTTTGTGAGTGACATGATGAAATACTTATTGGCCGAAGTCCATAATGCAATTAGTAAGACCCGAGAGTTCTGCACTGGCGCCATTGAAGGCACCAAGTTAGCGACTCCTAAGGAAGAGGAGCCGGCCCCACCACGCCGTGAGAAAGTCAAGGTCCGTTTTCCCGAACCCTTCAGTGGAAAGAAGGGTGAGGATTTCGATAACTGGGAGGCCAACGTGCACTGCTACTTGTACTTACAGGGAGTCACGCCTGAGGACCACATTTTGGTGGCCTTCCAGGCTCTTCGAGATGAGGCGACCAGCTTTGCTAGGTCGCTAGCCCGCGCTGCAAACTGTGATAATGATATGGTCACATACTCTCAACTAACGCCCCTTCGTTGAGTTCCTGAAATCGCTTAGGGAGCGATTCTCAGATGTGACACGGGGGCTCAAAGCCTCCGACAAGCTCCAAATGATACACACTCGCCAGTGGAAGAGTGTGCATGCGCTTAAGTCCGCTATGGACGAATTGATTGCGGACCCTGGGCATGGAGTAATCGATGCCCAGCTTCTTAACCTCTTCTATCGTGCCCTCCCTGAGAACATTCAGGGACATTTCTTTGATAAGAAGAATCAGCAGGGCATGACTTATGATACTCTTAGTCTGGAGGCAGTTGCAGTTGCCGCCCAAGTGTCGCCAGTTACCACGTTCTAGCACAAGGACTTGTCAAAGGGAAAAACGTGGAAGGGACGCACCATCTCCGGCCAAATCAAGGCCAAAGATAGTCTAATAATAACAATGGAGGAAGGTGGTGCAGACGAGGTTCCCTACTCCGTCATTGAGTGGGGACTAGAGGAGCAGGATAGTAGCGCTGGTCAGGGGAGAACCTACGCTGCTGTCACGGACGGAGGGAGGCCGCAAGGAGGAGGACAAAGGTCCGGCCAGAATGGTCGGGCCCAAGGTGGTCGAGGACAAGGCGGCCAGGGGGTTGGCGGCAACAGCAACCGCCAAGAGGGAGGAAGGGTAGGTCCCCCATCTAACCATCCGCGTTTTAGTCGGTCACCCCCCAGATAGGGAAGGTGGCATCCAAGTCGGCCTGAGGGCAGACCCTGGTTAGATCTGGGTATAGATCAAAGAGTATGGCAAGAACGCATTAATAGTTCTCAATGCATATTCTGCGGGGACCCAGGCCACATTATCAAATTTTGTCCTAAGTATAGGGACCGTGCTGCATTTGGGGCAGCAAAAGACAGCCGCCGGTAGGGGTCGCAACTGGCCCTGCCCCAGGAGTATGTGGATCTGAGCATGCGCGCGAAGTAGAGTCTCCCACACCACATATCTCCATGGCAGAGGTTGCAGGCCAGCGTCTAGTAAGTTGTCCAGAGACTGCTTGTGTTAGGGTCTCTCTAGACGCTTCCCTCACAGGCTTAGCCGAGGAGTTATGAGAGAGGAGGCAAGCCTGGGCCAAGATGAAGAAGGATAGCAAAGGACAGCTTATCCTCGCAGATGTAGAATTTTTTAGAGCTAGAGTAGGTGCCCTAATAGACAGTGGGGCGACTAGGAGTTATATTAGTCGTCGAGCGTTGAAGAAGTTGAAGCTTAATTTGAAAGTCCAACGCTTAGAGGAACCTGTAGTCAGCATCCTTGCAGACAATAGCAGGATGCGTGTTGAAGAGTATGTTGAGGGCATCCACGCCTACTTTCGCCTAGAGAAAGATGGGAAGGTAGAGAAGGTATTGCACTCCTTGACCCTCCTCGTAGAAGAGAGTCTCCCGTTTGACATTGTCCTAGGTACAAATTGGGGAGAGGCAGCAGGAGCCACATTGCACCTTAGAGAGCACGAGTGTAGGCTCCCTAGTGCGTCAGACGAAGTCAAGCAAGTGCACTTGTACCATGAGTCTGAGGTAGATAACCCCCTTGCCCATTGCTGCCTCAGCGCTCCTGCGTTTGCCAGACTCGTGTGAAAGGAGCAGCTCAAAGAGCAGGTGTTCGTAGCCTATGTCAGGCCAGTAACGGATAAGCCTAAAGAGGAAGAAAAGATTCATCCTTCTATTGCCAGTTTGATGGAAGAGTATAAGGACTTGTCTGAAGCACCTTCAGGAGTAGTGCCCAGACCAATCCAACACCGTATAGAGATAGAACCTGGCAGTAGAACGCCTAAGGGGGCAGTCTACAGGATGTTTCCCAAGGAGTTAGAGGAGCTTCGCAGACAGTTAGATGAGCTCCTAGAAAAAGGATGGATCAGGCCTAGTTCGTCACCGTTTGGCGCACTTGTTCTGTTTGTCCCGAAGGAGGGAGAGCTTCACATGTATATAGACTACAAGGGACTGAACGCCATCACAATTAAGAACGCAGAGCCATTGCCACGTATAGATGACTTGTTGGACCGCGTGCAGGGATGCAGGTACTTCTCAAAGATAGATCTGAAATCAGGGTACCATCAAATAGAGGTGCATTCTGACAATCAGTATAAAACGGCGTTTAGGACGAGGTATGGGCATTAGGTGTTCATAGTGATGTCGTTTGGACTTACTAATGCACCGGCTACATTTCAGCGCTGCACGAACGACTTGTTTAGACCGTGGTTAGATAGATTCGTTGTCGTTTATTTAGACGATATCTTATTGTTCAGCAAGACCCTCGAGGATCATGAGGGCCATCTACGGCAGATTCTAAGCAAGTTGAGAGAGTCTAACTTCAAGATTAACCCGAAGAAGTGCGAATGGGCCAAGACAGAGGTCCTTTACCTAGGAAACGTACTAGACGGCGACGACATTCGGCCTGAGGACAGTAAGATAGCATCCATTAGAGACTGGCCAACTCCTAAGACGCTGACAGAGTTGCGCTCATTCTTAGGACTGGCTAACTACTATAGGAAGTGATCATCAACTCACTGTAGATCGGGTCCTGAGCATATCTATTTCAGATCTTCCGCTGCAGATCAATCCTTATGTCTAGATAGTG